GGAGCGCTCCGCGTGGTCCCTGAATCCGGAGGTTTGTTCCAATCCAGCATCCCGACTGACGTGGCCGACCTGCCTGCTGCACATCGCCGGAGTCTCGCAGGAACCCCTTCGGTCAGGACGTCCCAGCCTGGCCTTAGATAGCTAACCGGAGTCTCCGGGGGGGGGGGGGTTCCCCAAAACGGTCAGCTGTTGGGAATGCACTGTTCCCGAGCTCCCCTCCTCTGCGCAGGTGTGGTTCTGCAGGTGTGTGCACAATGTCTCATGTTTCCCTGTCCTCTGCGCAACAAGCTCAGACAGCGATCGGAACAGCTCATTAAATCCAGAAACGGAGATGCGGTCACGAGCAAGCACTCCTCCGGAGGTTTGAGGGAGAGGGATGTCTAGGTTCCATGGGATAGTTCCTGGATTCATGTCGAATCCATGCCAGGAAGTTGCTGCCCTCCGATTGGTTAATTATGTCCACCCCTCCTGTGGTCAGATTACAAGCGGGACCCCTACTCCGAGGAGAACCCCTGTCTGGCCATCTGCTGCCGGAACGACCTGCAGTCGGAGCACCCCTCTCCCGAAGGCTGCTACGACACCAAGGTACGGCCAGATCCCTGCACACGGCCGCCCCCTCTCTCCCAGCGCGGCCCCCTGCTGGGCGGGCATGGTCACAGCCTTGGGGGAGACTGTGAACCCTCAATCGTCACAAACACTGAAGTCGACTGTCCTGAACTGACTGGGCCCTGCCCTCCCAGAGAGTGGGGACCCCTGCTCTAGACACACTGACCCCCCCTCCACAGAGACACAGAGGCTGGAGACCCCTGCTCTAGACGCACTGACCCCCCCTCCCCAGAGAGTGGGGACCCCTGCTCTAGACACACTGACCCCCCTCCCCAGAGCAGCAGGACTGGGGACCCAGGGTGTGACCCCGCTCCTCTCCTCTCCTGCAGGTGACTGATTACGCTCTGGCCCAGCAGCTGGCGGCGGAGGCCATCAGTGGGCCCACAGTGCAGGGGGGGCTGCCGGCCTTCTCCTGGAGCCACTTCAACGGCACGGCGCACCGGGGGCTCCCCGACACCTACAACTTCACCTTCGTGGGCATGAGGCCCCTGCTGTTCCAGCCCCGGAGTGAGGGGCCAGGGAGAGGAGGAGGGGGATAGGAGTGAGGGAGAGGAGGAGGGAGAAGATAGGAGGGAGGGATGAGGGAGAGGAGGAGGAGGGAGATGGGAGTGAGGGATGAGGGAGAGGAGGAGGGGGATAGGAGTGAGGGAGAGGAGGAGAGGAATAGGAGTGAGTGGCGAGGGAGAGAAGGAGGGGGATAGGAGTGAGGGAGAGGAGGAGAGGAATAGGAGTGAGTGGTGAGGGAGAGGAGGAGGGGGACAGGAGTGAGGGAGAGGAGGAGGGGGACAGGAGTGAGGGGATGAGGGAGAGGAGAGTGATGGGAGAAAAGGCTGTTATGGAGTTGTCGGACGACTCTTCGCCTGCTGCACCGGACGCTGGGGGAGAATCTGAGACGCCTTCACACACAGGGACTGCTGCACAACACCGGGCACAGAACGGAGCAGATACAACCCCT